TAATATTCGAGAGATACCGTGATTGTCATTTATTTAATAAGTTTTGGCATTCACGTATTTCATTATATGGATCGTTTCTATAATACGAAAACGTGACTAAAAAAGCTTTAAAAGTTTAAGTAGTTTTGCAATAGTTTAAATGACTAATTTTTTTGTTTATAAAAATTTGATCTAAAGTTTTAACTTTTATACTTTTTTATTTAAGTTTTAATAAATATATTATTTTTAAGTGATATTAAAATGATAAGTGTTATTTTTTTAATGAAAAATATAAAAAAAATAACAAAATGAGTATTGTTTAAGAGATAAGCGAAAAATCTTAATTATAAAATAAGAAGTTATAATTTCAAATATAATTATCTTCATTCTCTCCTCTAATGCATCCAAACAATAAAAAGATAAAAAGGTTTTATGTTTCTCCTTTTTTTTTTGTTTATTCTTTACCAAACCAAACAAACTCCGTTAGATGAAAAAAGAAAATAAAAAAGAGAGCTTTTAGTTTATTCGAAAACGTGAAGTAAGGGTGCCACGTGCGCATCCAAGCGCACCGAAGGGTCGCTCTCAGCTGCGGTTGATTGATGTGCGGTGCACAGTACAGTTCCCCTCTCCCGAGACGCCACGTGACATCCTGCGCCTGCGACACACGTGGCATTCCCACGTACACCAGTCCTTTTGCATGTCCTTTTCTTTTCAGGCCCTTTTCTTATCACTTTTCCTTTTATTTTTTAATAAAAATAAACGCAACTTGGTATGTGGGTCCCGCCTCCATCATGACCCTCTGTTTGGGACCATGTGACGTGTCTCCTCCTCTTCCTCCTCCACCGCTTCTCCCAGTCACCCACTTCCACTACCTTCGTTGACCCTCACTTTAGGGTTTTTTTTTTTTTTTTTCTCTCTCTTTTTGTTTGACGCTGCAATTGGGTCAATTCATCATTGTGTTCTTCTCCACTCCTCTTATTATTTCTTTCTTCGTTGCTTCAAACCAAAATTCTGTTTTTCATTCAGACATCTAAACGCTGTGTTTGAAAATATACGAAGATTACGATTAGGTTATTAAATATATATTAAGTTTCGTTATTTTTAATAAAATTGATAATTTTTTATATTTTTAAATTATTTTTAATAATTTTTTATATTTTTCTGTAATAAACATAAATAAAAAAATCATTGATAAAAATTAGTTATACAATCTAAAATTATAAGATTTATATATGATTCAAAACATTTTCTTACAAAAGTTTCTTATATTTTGAAATAAATAAAATATTGATTAATTTTTTTTCATAAATTAACATTTAAAGGTTTACTAATTTTATATTTTTCTTTTTAAATCATTATAATTTAACATTTTTCAGCCACGAATATGTTAATTGAAAATGTAATCTTATTTTCTCAACACATACTTTATTTATTTGTTAAATGAAATGACTTACTTAACAAATAGTATTAGACATGTAAAAAATTTATGATTCATTTTTATTCCTTTCAAAATATGAGTAGTTCATTTTTAGTTAATGTAAAATAATTTTGTAACATAAATAACACAAAAACGAACTATTTTAATTATGATCAAATAATGTTTATTGAATTATGCATTTTAATTGATGTACTATTGAGGAAGAATTGATCCAATATGTGACACACACTACCCACTAAATTTTAAATATGCAACTCTTTTTAGAATCCAGCATTAATTGAAACTTAATATTCCGAATAAAGAATAGTCATAAAAAATAAATTCTTAATTGATTAAAATATGGCTTTAATATAAACAAAAATAGAGAAGTAAAATAAAATCTACTTATACCTAGGCTTATTATTATTGTATGTTCATGATTAAGTTTGAAAGCAGTCAATTAGGTATTTTTTTCGAAGTAATTTATTTAAGGTAAAATAAGGTTATTAGAGGAATCAAATTAAGTTTAATTGTTATAAATTTGAGATTTTAGTTAAAATGAACCATCAAATAAGTTAAAACAATAGACACTTAATATTTTATTAATCTATACGAATTAGTTATTTATATATTATTATTTACTAGTAATATTATCAATATGATTACTATTATTATTACTATTTTGTGTTTAAAATAATAACTAAATACCTATTATTTATTTTCTTGGTTTGCACATATGGCTAAACGTGTTTGATGCTTCTTCTCAGTTGCATTTGCATTTACATTTGGTGGGTCTTACCGCACGTTCAGTTTAATATATTCGAATAAATTAAGGTTTAGATTCGAATTCTTTTGAACAAGGACGAGAGGAATAGTTAGTACGAAGTTTTCAGGTTGGGAATATGTAACCAGGGGAAATAATTTACAAAAAGTTTAATCTAAGCAAAATAAAAAATAATTGTAAGAGAGATACACTTTTTCATTGTTATTAAAAAGAGTCTTACTTGATAAAGGTGAATTTTATTGTTATTAAAAATCTTTATGTCACTTCAAAAATGTTTGAAAATATAATTTTGCAAATTAAATTTATAAGATTGCACATGCTTATGTGTCCACATCTAATTCTATACATTAAAAGTTAAGTTGAAATTACAAAACAATTTGATTGATTACAGAGAGAATAATCCCACATTAGCAGAAACATCTATTTAACATGTCATTTTTGTTAACGGATAAAGATAGTTTAATTCAACCAAGTTGTAATTGAATTAACTTTATAGAATAATTTAATCTAAAATCTCTAAAATATATTAAACAATCCACAAGCTTTCTCTAATTATAAGATCATTAATGCAAATTATAGAAGAAGAAAACAAAGACAAATTATAGTCAAAACCGCACGACATAGTTTTTTTTTTTCTAAGATATTCTGTTATCAAATATTTTATTTCTAAAAGTAACTCCATTTATTTTTTTACCCAAACATCATAAAATTGTATCCTATATGACTTATTTTGCGTCAAAGATCTATATTGTAATTCCTAAGAGGTCTGTTGTGACATTTATAATGTATATCAAGATCGAAAAAATATATTAAATAATGACATTCTACAAGAGTCGAATTTGAAATTCAAGGATTCCAATTCAAACTATTTTAGTGAAACAAAAGTAACCAATTGCATGATCATCACTCATGACTAAAAGTTGTTTGGGGTGTGTGTGTTATTTTTTAATTTTTTTTATGTTAAAGGAAAGAGTTTGAGAGGAAAGAAATTTGAAAAATAGATAAAAAAATATTAATGATTTGATATTTTATTTCTTTATTTATTATAAATAATAATAATAATAATATTATTATTATTATTATAAAAATACATAATTAACTATAGGTAAATATGAATATAAGAAACAAATAATCTTATTTTATTTATAATTTATTATATGCATATTTCTATTTTTTATATTTTTCTACACTTTTTTTCATATTTTTTTATACATATATATATATATATATTTATTTAATGATTGAAATAAATAATATATAAAATAAAAAAATCTAATGATTTTTTAAGTTTTATTTATAGAGTGATAAATAATTTTTTTATAAGATTTTATTTTTTTATGTATTTTTAAGATTAAAGTATTAACTACGTTGAAGATTAAAAAGTGATTAAATAAAGAAAAAAATTAGAATAATATTGATGAATTAGAAATTGAATGGCGGGAAGTTATTATATTATTTTAGAAATTTATTGAAAGTTTATAAGTTAAAGCAAATATAATTTAATGTATTTTAGCAGGTTGAGATTCTGTTCACACAAATAAGAATGGTAAAATACAAATTGGTTCAAATGTAATTGACCATATTTCGTTTAAAAAATAACTAATTATGCAAATATTTCACTTGAAACAAAATCTAGATAAAGAAAAAAATTTATATTTATTAATTTATTTTATGAACCCTGTATATTATTATATAAAATATATAAATTGTTCAAACTAAAATATAAATTTTGCAAATTAAATGTAAATGGGTGAATTCGATCCATTCACTTATTCTAATTTAAGAAATTAAATGATGTATGTTAAAATAATATTTTTATAAATGAAAAATTGAGTGTAAAAAAGTTATGTTAGAGAGAATTTTAGTATGATTATCTCAATACATTTTGAAGTAACCATGTGTGTACAATAAAAATTTCCATAGTCTATTAAATGAGAGGTTTATATAGAAACTATTAAATAATGATGGGATACAGCTAATGAAGAAGAAAGAAAAAAGAAAAGAAAAGAAAAGAAGGTAAGTTGAGTTGAGGCACGCACATGGGTGTGGCAGTGAGGGAGGAAGTGAGGTTGACGAATTAGAGAAAAGTGGAACCGCATAGTACCTAACCTAAGAGGACGCGACACGACATGATCCAATGCACACAACACAACGTAACCCAAAGCCGCAACCAGGACAAACAAATAATAATAATAAATCATTATTAACGTTGGAGCCACGCGTCCCCTTTTCCCTTTGGGGATTTGACTGACACGTGGCGACTAGTCCATCCCCACCCTCTTCTTGACACGTGTTTATCTAGACAGAGACTTCATCTTGCAGTAAAAAATCGTGTTAATGTTGCCACGTGTCAACCACGCGCCATTCCCTCATTATACCCACTTGTCTCTTTCTCCTCACTCAGCTCGTCACATCCCAGGGGCACTTTTGTCCTCGCATAAATATTATTCTCCTTCTCTCACTTTCTCTTCTTTTTTCCTCTTCTTTCAACAAAACAACAACCTTTTCTCTTCTTTTCTTCTTCTGGTGCCCATTTTTTCCTTCTGTTCTCCTTTCTTCTGCGCTCATTCATAATCAGTTATCCTTTCTTTCTTCAATTTTGTGTTAAGAAAGAGAGGAAAAATAGGGAACTGTATTTTGTTGGGGTTTTTTTAATTATTATTTATTTTGGGGTGAGGATGGATTGCTGAGTTGGGGAATAAAGGAGAATTCTTTTCAATTAATTGCATTAAATTTTGATTGTTTTTTAGAGGAAAGAAACGGTTTTGCAATCCAGGGTGGGTTCTGTGTGCTGTTTTTGGCTTCATTTGATGAAGAGACATGCTTCGTGTCATGGGTGTTGCTGCTGATTTGAATCACCTCTACTGGTCACCCCACCAAGACTTGTTCTTTTCTGCTGCACACGCGGGTTGTGTGAAGAACATGCGATAGAACAGGTGTTAGTACTTTACGATTTTCAATGTTGTTGTCTTTTTGTAAGGGGCATTGATGATGGAAGATTATATTAACCATCACCTTCAGCAGCAGCAACAAAACCATCTTCAAGGACAGCAACAGCAGCAGAATCAGAATATCGAGTGTGAAAGGATGGAGAGGTACCCGAGAGATTTGCTTCAGGGGTTTGTCATGAGAGGTGTTGCTGTTAGGGATGATAACGTTAGCATAGCCCAACGTCTTCATCACCATCATCATGAACAACAGCAACAGCATGAAGAGGAGGATGAAGATGTTGAGTTGAACCTTGGTCTCTCTCTAGGAGGAAGGTTTGGGGTGGATAAGAACGCAAAAAAGAAGAAGCTTATGCGTTCTTCTTCTGTGGTGGGGACAATGCCTCTATTCAGGGAGGACGACGCCGTAGCGCCGCCTCTCGCAGCGTTTCCTGCGCTGATGAGAACGTCGTCGCTGCCGACCGAGACCGAGGAGGAGTGGCGGCGGCGGAAGGAGATGCAGACGCTGCGTCGGTTGGAGGCCAAGAGACGCCGGTCCGAGAAGCAGAAGGGATCCCGGGAGGCCGTCATCGGTGGCTGCGCGGCCGCCGAGGAGGTGGAGGGTGGAAGTGTAGCGGCAATGGGGTTGAACAGATTTGGTTCTTCCACACTGTCGCCGCCACCACTGGGTTGGGGTGTAGCGGCGCCGAAGCAGGTTGTTCTTGGTGATGTGTTGGGGAAGGGGAAAGGTTTTCAAGGGCTGTTTGGGCAGCCATCTTCTCAGGGATCGGCAGATTCGCAAGGTGGAAGCTCTTCATCAGTGTCTGAAATGGATAGCAAAGCTATTTTAGGTAAATTTTGGTTATTGTATATACAAGTTGAGTTTTCCCTTGTTTGGAATGGAATCTCTTGGTTTTAATTAGTTGCCTTGCCTGTTTATGCTGTGAACTGTTGACGTTTGAGATCGTGCTCTTTTGGTGGTGATTGTGTTTTGACTGTGTGATGGTTCATGAGGACATGTTCTGATGTTTATTTGTGATTTGTGCATCTTTTTATATCTTTGATTTGCTTGTTTTAAAGTTTCAATCGATTATGTGAATTGGTTGTTAATAAGAGTGATGATGGAAAGAGCATAAAATATAAGATATATAATTTTGCTATTTGACGAGTACCTATGTGACCAAAGTATTTGTTGCTTGTAAGTGGACTGAATGATTTTTGACGTTCAACAAGTGTTATTTGGATTTTATTGACTGAAGTTGTTAATTTGTTAATCTCACTTTTCTAGATTGAATTTTACTTCCTGAGGTTGTTAACGTGCTAATTTCTTATTTTTGTGTGGTTTTTCATTTTATTTTGATTAAGATATATGTGAAAAGTTGAAATAATTATAAACTTAGGTAATTCCCTTCAATTCTTTCGTTAGTTCCTTTTGTCTATTGAAATAATTACCTAGAAGCCACAGTACACTGAAATGAATTAATTTACGAATGTGTGGTTGTGAAGTTTCCTTCACCTTCTTGCATGATAAGACAGTTACTTTTATGATGGGTCTCTCTTGCATCTCCTGCACATGATTGATTGCGTGGTGCTATTATTTGAAGATTCATATCTAAATAAACTATGATACCAAAAGGAAGAAGATGATAGTTTTACTAAATAAAACTTTGAATATATTAGGTGTTATTTGAGATGGATTGTGACTGATCAATGGTGACATTTGTTAGGATTTTACCTGAGTTAACAATATATACTCCTTTCTCTGTAATCATTGAATTGAATTGTCATTAATTTTCCTATTATTATTAACCTATCTCGAACAAGTTATTTATTTTGCAAAAAATAAACACTTATCTTTTGCAAAAATTTTATAAAACTGATTATGTAGTAGACTCTGACATCTTACACTTCATATTTTCCTTATAGCTTATTATGTGAGATATGATAAGGTTTGAAGTATACATCCAGACTTGTAGATGTAAAATGTTCTAGAAATCCTCACCCGTAAAAAGTTAAAATATATGTATTAATATGATTGCATGATGTTGGCTAAATTCATGAAACTTATACTTAATTCTTTTTTATATTTTTGTATACTGAGGTTAAAACACATTTCTAATTACAATGACATTATTTGTTGTTCTATCCTGGTCGCTTCCTAAGACAATTTCAAATGGTATACTATTTGTGTTAATGCACTACTGATATTCTGATATTGTAAGCTCACTACAATAGTAGTAATTTGTCAGCCATGTTTACATCACGTTATTTTGACCTTTTTCTCTTTATATTTTCCTCATCTGTTCAATTATGAGGTAAATATGTGAGGAGACAGACTGGATTGGGTGGATTAGAAAAATGTTATAGGAATTTTCTTGGAACTTCTTTTCTCTAGTTATCTCTGAATCTCATGATCATAATTCTTCTCATCTATTTCACTTTGTTTAAATAAACACAACAGATAATGCTCCGTGTGTAGTTGCAGTTTATAAAGTATGTCTTGGCAGGTTTGTTGACTTCATTCACTTTTAAACAAATATATTTGGTTTAACATGTGATAATTGCTTCATTCATCTAAACACCAGTTTAGCATGTGAGTCTTATGATAAATGCTAGTGCTGACATGTTGTTTAGAACAGAAATTATCATATGGATAAATAACATGTTTCAGGCATGGCCACATACATAGGTGATACATATCAACCTGTAACTTGTGAATAGGCAGTCCCAGAATATAGATCCTTACTAGTTCTTGAGTTTGTGGTTTATTATTATCATCCTTTGCTGATGGTATAACAAAAATTGTTCTTTAATTTAATAACTGAAATTCCCTGTCCTGAAATGATCTACATTTTGGAGTCCATTGAGTGCATGCATGCGGTTGTGTTAGAATAATTTCTTTTTGTTGAAATTGTGTCTTGGGAAATACAATAATAATTTCTGTTGAATGATTAAGAAGGAACTTAACCCTTTTTGGACTGTTTATCAAGTTCATTCATTTACTTTCTAAATATAATGTTTAAACCCTTCCATGGTGTTACAAGGATGGAACAAGTGTGCCTTTGGCTACAATCTATATTTTTTTTTTCAAAGATGGAATTTGTTGGTGATTATAAATGTTCTAAAAAAAGCTGAAAATGAAAAACACCAAATTTAAAAAAGGAAGAAGATTTGATTGTGTAGTGTGCTCAACATGACAGGATCAGGTAGTTGTGGTGAAGCAAGCCCTGCTAGTAATCAATCAGCACAAGACCGATTCAGCCAGGATGCTGTGGGTTTAGGGGCTAAGACAGATGAGAATGTGGGTAGAACTTCCAAAGCTGAGGTGGAGAATCCATCTAAGAAACCCCATCCTTCCCAAAACACAATGAGAAAGCAAATTGGGACAAACTCAATGGAAGACATGCCTTGTGTGTTTACAAAAGGGAATGGTCCTAATGGGAGAAGGATTGAGGGAATCTTGTACAAATATGGTAAAGGGGAGGAAGTAAGAATCATGTGTGTGTGCCATGGAAACTTCCTCTCTCCAGCTGAGTTTGTTAAGCATGCTGGTGGTGGGGATGTTGCACACCCCCTTAGACACATTGTTGTGAACCCTTCTGCTGCACCCTTTTAGTGATGGACTTCCCTCTTTCCCTTCAACTATAGGGCTGTAATATAGTTTACATTGAGGGAATAAACATCAGTTTGGCAGCTTCTTTTCTCTTTCTCCATTTTTGCTTAGCTCTTGAATGAAACAATATTATACATAGACACATGCTTCTCTTCTCAAAGGGACATTAAATTTCCCATCTTTATCTGTTCTTTTCCAATGCGTGTCAAGTTGATTGCTGAAGGCTTTTTTTGTTGAGGTATAGATCAGCGAAGGAGGATCTATCTTCTTATATTTTTATGTTTCATACACATATCTTGGAATTAAAACCTAGTTGGAACATGTATAAACCATGGTAAAATTTATTGGTTTAACCCTATTCTTTGTCCATCTACCATGTGCTACAAGATAAAACTTAGCCATGGTAAAAAAAGTGCCTTGCATGTCCTAGCATGACAGAGTTATCCGTTTAACCTGAATAATGGTTTAAAGCAAACTTCTAAAAGTTTATTTTATACATTTTTCAAGTGTTGTATTTTTTTGTCTAGTTTTTATTTTTGCAAATAATTTTTTTTACAACATTGTTTTTTCAAATGACATTAATTTTACTTATTTAAATATTTATTGGGTTGGAAATGAGCCAATATCATATTTTTTTAGAAGATCTATTTGTATTTTATTTTATTAATGAGAAATTATGTATTAATCCTTTTAAAAATATTTACAATAATGGTATTTAGGAGATAGTATTTAATTCAGAAAGTATTTAAAAGACAATTATAGTTAAAAGAAATATATGGAATGAAATTGAGAAAATTAAATAATATGATATGATTATTTAAGAACAAAATTAACTTTTAAAATTGGAATTAACCATTTTCTATCAACTAATATTAAATTTTCAATTCATTATAATGGAAGGTAGTAAGAAACATATTAAATAAATCGATAAATTTATATTATCATCAGGACATGTAAGAAAATGAAAACTAAACAATAAATTGAAATTACTTTTAGAAAATTTGTGTTTTATCAAGAATAAAGTGTAAACATTGTTAGTTTTGACTACATATATTTTATAATATCTCCATGCAACAATATTGAGGTATTGAGGCATGTCCAACCAAGTTATAATTTTGTTTTTGGAAAGCAACAATGAAAAAGTTGTATACACTTGTGCCCATTAATCTTTTGGATGATATAAAGGCACTTCTGATCAAGTTGTGCTAGCTGGGACCAAACTTTAAAACTTTGGGTTTGTAATTAATTACTTAACCCTTGGCTTGACACTGAAGTTGACAAGAGATGTTTATTTGGAGCACACAAATATTCATCACTCGTATCTTCACTTAGATCTGTTCATGATATTATTCACCTTCACATACCTAAATAATATCTCAATCATGGATTTGAAAAATCTAAAGGTGGCATGCATTTTCTTTGTTCTCTACTTCTTGTACTATTTCTAAAGATGACAACGATATTGTCCATGTATTTTTATAAAACTATGAGGTAGCAAAATGAACTTTCCAAAGTGGTGGCTAAATATCATGCATCATATTTTTGTGTGCAACTTGCTTTAATTTCCCCAAGGTCATCGTCACCATCATTGGGTGTTTTTTTTCTTAGAATATTTGTAAGATAGAGACAGATTTTCCTTTACAAGGGATGCTACCTAATTTTTAGGTTAAGACATAGGATGACACGATTTTAAGAAACTTTAAAAGGAACAACATTGATCCTTGCAAAACAAACCCTATTTATGCGTGTCAGTTTTTCCAAACCCCAACTTATTAAAGGAAACGAATTAATTAATCCAAAGTGAAAAGTTACTATACAAGGTTGCACTACGTGTATTGGTTTTGAGCTGTACCAAACCAAGTTAATCGTTTTCAATTTTAAATGCTACCCTATTTTTGTTGTTTTAAATTATAGAAAATTTTAATTCCATTAATTAACAGGTTAAACATATTCTTTTTTAAATTACAGAGTAAAAAATATATATTAATTCCTCTTATGTCCACGGTCATGTATGTGATAATTAGAGAGTTTTTATATATGGGTATGATAAAATCAATCGATTCACCTAACATAAAATCAGCCTAAAAATTTTGTAATTTAAATTAAACTAGACTATTTTTTACTTAATCGGTTTAGTAAGTAATTTGTTAAATAAAATTTATTAAAAATAATTTTAGTAATATATTTTAAATTACACATTTTAAAAAAATCTATTAACCTTACTTTATTAAAAAAAAAAAAAGAGTTTGAATCTCAAGTTTTATTTTTTAGAACTTTCGTCCACCACAATTTTATCCTCCTTAAAAAATATATCGATGATGAACATGAGATCAAAATAATTTTATTTATAGACATAATAAACCTATTTAAGATCAGAAAAAAATATTTATTTAAAAATATTAATTGAACAAATTTAATATATACATATATTTCAACTTATTCATTTATATATGATATTTTTTTATGGTATATTAAAAAAAATTGTTGAAATAAATAACTTTAGAAGAGTTATTTTAAATTAATTTGATTTCTTTTATTGATAGTGTAAACTTATGATATTTACAATAATAACTATACTTTTATTAGAAAAAAAATCCCATGAGAAGATTAATAATACTAGATCGTTAATAGAATATTACTCTCTTTTTTTATAGAGATATATATTTTTTTGGGATAAATTATATTTGAGATATTTTATTTTTTATAATTTTAAAATTAAGCTTTTTTATATTTTTGAAAAAAAAAGTTATGTTAAAAAAATTACAGGGTCAATTATGTTTTTAATTCTTAAGAATTGAAAAAAAAAACCCATCATAGTCTTTCAATTTTGTTTTGGAGAAATTGTACTTTATACTTGAATAAAAATAGTTTTCTAAATTCATTAAAACATGAATTTATTGTTTAGACGTTAAATTTGAGGGACTAAAAATAGTTTTACAAATTAATTTAATTTGTAAATTTAGTATTTAGAAACAAAAATTTTATTTAAAAAAATATCGATTAAAATATTTGTACAAATTCAAAAATTAAAATCATAATTACTTTAATATTTTAAAACTAAAAGTAAATAAAAGAAAATATAATGCTAAAGAGGGTATTTGCACCTGGTGTTTTAAATTATAATTGTAAAAAAATCGTAACAGGAGAAATTTTATAATCAGATTGGGCATACACGGGTTGAAGGAATATGATCATATCTATTTTCAGAATCAATAAAAAAAAATATAAAGCTAGATTAAATTAAATTAGTTTTTATATTTTTTTATTTGATTTAATTTGATCTAACTCATTGAGTTGAATTGCGTTAATTGAGTCATATATTTTAAAAAAATTATATTATTATATTTAAAACTTTATTTTTAATTAACATAAAACTAAATAAATTAAAAAATAATTATATTATTATTATTATTATTTAATAATTAATAATAACCACCTAGTCCAATAGAGTGGGTTAAATGATTGTTTTTTTTACACTTTCATATTTTCTTTCTTTATTTCATATTCATTTAAAATAATAATAATATTATTAGTATAAATAACTTTTAGAAGGTTCATTTTGAAAAAAATTTAATTGATCTTTTTCAAATTAAAGTTTTAAAAATATTTCAGAAAGTTATTCTGAAACGCTTTTAAAAAAAGCAATATAAAAAAAATCTGAAAAACATAATCTAAAAATATTTTTATTATTTAATAATCTACCACTCATTTTTCGATTGTATTTTTTAAAAATTTATTTCAGATTCAATCATACCAAACAGTATAAATATAAATTAAATATAATTTTTTTTAAGAAATTTTAGATAATAAATTATATTATTCAAAATATAAATCACCAATCAATTTTTAACTTTTAACGATAAAATATTACTTGAAAAGAGGTGCAGGAACAAATAGAAGTGTAAAAAAGAAAACTGATTTTTAACATTAAGGGAGTGTGGAAGAAACTATCGAGGTGAAAAAAGAAAAAAAGAAGCAGCCAGCTGAATCCGTGGGACTGTCCACCAAACCAACCAACTACTAATAAAAAAAATCCTTATTTCTTACTATTAACACTACCTCTACCTCATCAGCACCTCTGCGAATTAAGACCAGTCTCCAATCCCGCGACTGAACGCCGCAGCACGCCGTCTGCGACGCGACGAGCCTCTCCGCGCCGCGACTGCCTGCTTCCTCCCCGCGATAGACTCTTCTTGAAGGTACGAGCCGCCTCATTTAGCCTATCAACTCGTAGTGGCCCAGACGGGCTATACTTTTCAGATGGGCCGGCCCGGTCCGTGTTGACAGCCCTACGCCTGTATTGTGCCGTTCACTCACTGTCTCTCTCCTGCTTGCGGTTGGACCCTGTTCGTGTTTCTGGTATGCCTTTCACTTCTTTCCATCATTTCCTGTCCTACTCTGCTCTTCGTCAATTATTTGCTTTTCAGTTTTTCGTTATTAGTTCTATGGTATCTGAGCGTTGGTGAGGTTGTTGAAACATGGAGAGTGATTCTCTCTGCACTTGTGCTCTCTCTCTGTTTATCTATTTTATGTCACTTCTCATGATGGCCGCAGAATTAAATGGGCGTATTATGGCTTTATATTAGAAGATTAACCTGCACTTGTCGCATGGTTATCTAATTTTAATTTTGTTTCTGAAAATAGTGTGATGTTTTATTTATTATTGACAGTTCTTGTTGGTCGTTGAAAATTGTATTGTAAATGAGAATCGTTGTTTGCGAATAATAGTCGTGATGAGAAGAGGAATCAAGAATGTTCTTTGAGCATGTATTGATATGTTTAAATTTTTTGCTTCTTTGAATAAGTAATTGTTATGCGAGTTTTGTTCCATGTCCATTTGCTGCAACTCATACAAGTTCCTTGTTTAAAATGCAATTTAGATATATCTCTGTGATAGCCTGATAGTGACGGAAAAGGCTAAAAACTAAATACCTTTTGGAAATATAGATTATCTCACATACACAATACATATCCCGTTTAACTTGCGAGTCATTGGTTGAATC